GGATTTCTGCAGGCTGGTGTAGACCTTGAAATGCTCTGAAGCACCAGCAGAAGTCATGGGACAACAAACATATAGGGACTGTTGTGCTGTTGGGAAATGCTGGGAGATGGGAATGGACTGTAGAGGGCAGGTACAGGAAGTTTGCTGGGTCCTGAAACTCCTTGATTTATCACCCTGGTGCAAAGCATCTGTCCAGCACATGGTCAGTTGACATGACACAGCTAAGAAATCCCATGTGGAAATCCAACAGCCTGAGACATAGAGCTGTATTTATGACCAGGGTGGTCCCTTTCACCCTGTGTTTCTGCAGGCGGCTGAGCTGCAGAGCAGAGAGTTGGGAGGGAGGTGGGTAGGTCTTCCTGGTTTATGGGAAAAATCTGCAGTTTTGGAATTTGTTTTCCACTCTGAAGCAGGTAATAAATTTGTCATGGATTGTAATTCCAAAGTTGTTTAACTTGAGGTAGATCAAAGTGTTTGGTGTCTGTGAAAGCCAACATAGGCTGTTAAAATAATCCATTTTCTATAAGACTGAAAGACGTTGAACTGAAACATTCCAAAATAGAAATTAAATTTCTTGTTACCAGGTTTTTTTCTGTTTTTTTTTTGTCCAAATTGAAGCATTTCTGCAAGAGAATTCATTTCTCAGCATTTCCAAGCAGAAAACACTAGCCCTGAAGTTTCCCACCCCTGGTACTGTTATTGCACCACTGCCAGAATAGCCCCAAAGCATCCAAAGCTGGAGAAGCTGGGGACCTGCAGCTGCTTGTGCTGGCAGCGGCTTTTGGGAACAGTCCCCATATGCTGATGTGGGATACACTGGGATGGCCTGGGATACCCAGAGTGGACACCTAAGCATTCACCCAGAGCCCTGTTAGCGAGGCACACGTGGACGGCTGGTTGCTGTCACTGCAGGCAGAGCTGGAGGGCACTGCACATGCAGCTGCCTCTGCACAGAGCAGTGTCCTGCCAGGCATTTTCTCATCTGAACAAATTACCCCAAAGTGCCTCTAAAACATTCAGTTTGCTAGAAGGAATTGGAGAGACGTGAAGATACAGGTTGCTTTGTGCTGAGCTGACCAGAGAACTGCTCCTGCGTGATGTGGCACAGCAGCAGAAGGTGAGAGGCAGATGAAGGCACGTCAAAGACAATGATGTTCTGCAGTGACATGTTGTCCTGGAGTGTAAATTAGGAGCTAGAAGGGCTCAGTAACAGTTCAGCACGTGCTGACAGCAGGGTCTGTTTGTGCATCAGGAGCCGGAGGCGACAGCCCAGCCTGCAGGACCAGCTGCAGAGCGATGCTAAAAGGTAGTCTAAAAATAAAGTGCTTATCAGGGCGAGAAGGGCCAAGTATTTCATCACTCTGCCTCGAATGATGACTAACACAGCACGGGCTAGGAGGGTTTCTGGTTTGTTAGGAGCTGTATGGTGATTCACAGTTTGCTGGGCTGGGGCAAATACCTCCTGTTGGCTTCAGCCTTGCAGGAATGTTGGTGTGACTGCTCAGCTGTGTTGTCCCCCACTCAGTGGTATCTCTTCTCCTTGTAACGCAGAACAGAAAACACAGCACTTTATAGAGAAAGCACATAAACCCCATGGAGTCATGGCTGGGCCAACACCTGGAAGAAGCAGCAGGTTTGGGGTTAGGTGCTCAGCTCCCCCTTGCCCACCTGCCCTGCAGGGAAAGGTAAGCAAAACATGCCCTGCAAGGGAAAAGAAAGCTTCACCTCATCAGTGTGACTTGACTGACTCTGTCCCCAGCATTTCATTGAACACAGGGGTAGGTTTGAGTCTCACAGGCCTTGCATCCCTGGGGCACAGGGAAAGGGTAGAGAGAAGAGCCTGGCATGGGGCAGAGCACCAGCAGGGTGCACCCACCGCCCTTGTAGCCCTCACCGCAGGCAGGGCTGGCTGTGGGCAGGCTCCCATCTGGCGCGGGACCGTTTCAAACCCATGGCCGCGCCACACCACGACAACCTACATACACCCTGTGGCACCAAGGGGCAGCAGCTTGCACCCTCGGGCTGCGTTTACAACGGCTAACCCAAAGAAGAGCTCTGCAGCGCGGCTGCGCTGGGTCCCGCACGGACCCGGGGACACACGGATGCAGTGGCACGCTCAGCGCTGCCGCCGCGCCGGGAGCCCTCGCCGTGGGAAAGGCTTTGATGCAAGCGCATCTCCCAGGGCCGCCCGCCGGACTCCGCTTCCCCTTGGGTACCCGATCGTGTGAGCAGCGGCGCCGCCGCGCACGCAGGAGCCGCATCCTGTCAGCCCCTTTTGCAATCAGCGGGGCCATCGCCTTGGCCGCAGCGCAGAGGGGTTGCGACACGTGGGGAGCAGCAGGGCTGTGTGGGGCAATGCAGGGCTGGTTCCGTCAGGGTGCGGCGCCGGCTCCTTGCACCCAGGCTTTTACTCTTCGAGGGACTGGGGCTACGTGCATCAGTGGATGGTTTCTGCAAGTAATTCTCCTCTCCGCAGGAACGTGTATCTGACTTTATAATTCGTGCGTGCCTGGGAAGTTCAATCCAGTCCCACTGGAGTAGCAAGCTCAGTGGGAGTTTATTTATTTAAAAGAGTGCATGGAGTAGCATGGAAAAGAAGTCAAAATCTATTGAAAACCATAAATCTTCATCCTAAACCAGCTTTGCTTTTCTTAAAATACAGTCTAGGGGAACTGTCTGTAAAATGCGGGTTCCACGGAGCCTTGGCTTTAGCAGTGCAGTCCCTTCAGAATGATATTCTAGTATAATAATTAAAACATTTACAAAATGAAGATAATCTATGGCTGTTCCAAGTTTCTATGGAAATTTGGAGGCTATGGTGTATGCAGCTGTTCCCAGCTAATGCAAAGGTTGGCTGTAGCTCTACTTCTGAGCCCATTTGTAACTTAGGGGATAATTTATCTGTTCTGTTTACACAGTTCTCAGCTTGCACAGCCCTCGAGTGTAATGTTTCAATAGTTCCCAAGCAAAAGCCTATCTTACCCTCCCAGCTCAGCCTAAGCAATTAGTGTTCTCAAACTCAATGAGACACCTCTGCTGAAAGGTGTGGGTGCTTACTTCAGAGCTGCAGACACTGCATTGCACGAGGTATATCAGAACATCAGACACATCAGCAGAGAAATGGAAGCACTTGCTCATGCTGGCCCATGGTACCCACAGATGCTTGCTCTGATGGCTCTGCTTCACATTCAAGGTGCTTACCTCCAGTTTGTTCCCCTTTAAGCTCCTGCATCCCTCACCTGATGCTCTTGGTGCTGGCCTCAAAACTGCCAGCAGTGGAAGGAGCTGGCACAGCTGGCACAGAGCTTCTGCCAGGTCTTTGGCTGTTGGTATGGGTCCATTCTTGTGCCCTTGCTCCTGAACTGATGGTTCCTGCTAACAGGTTTTGGTGAAACAAAAGGTTAACTCAAAACAGGTTAGCCGCACACCAGAGGAAGATGAAAAGAAGGCAATACCCCCATAGGATGAGGCTAGCATCTCAAGGGCAGTCAAATATTTTTATCTAAAGCCATGGGCACTGTTATGTGAGTTGCTGCATTAACACTTTTACAGACACATCAGGAGAGGGCAGTTGGGTCACAAATCAGAAAGGCAGAAACACCCAAGAAAGGATCTTAAGTGCTACGATGTAGGACTTTTGGGGCTGACTCCACTACCTGGTACTTTATAAACCAGGCTGATAAAAAGCTGCAACCGCTTGTGGGGAAGCAGAGAGCAGGCATTTTGCACCTGCTCATCGTCGTGACATGAAGATGTTGTACGTTCACAATCTTATCTCCAGTGGCTCTGTAGCTGATGTAAGCAGTTTCCATTTTGCAGTTTTCAGTTGCTAATGAAGAAAATATTAATAACCTCTAAGCAAAGAAAGTCCACCCATAGAGCTGCACTCCAGCAGTACGCAATGGCCCCAGGGTGCAAAACCTTCAAGTCTCATTGAAACAACAGCATGAAAATCCGTTTTTTACAAAGGGAGGGGAAAACTGACAGTCAGGAGTGCACAGAAGAAAATCTTTCAGCTGAAGCAGTGCTGGAGCTTCCCATCCTGAACAAATATTTAGTAGCATTCACTGAATGATTCCCATAGCATCAGTTTGAACTCAAAGGCAGAAAGGCTCAGTGCTACACAGTGAGAATTAAAGAAAAAAGCCACCAGCCAAAAATATGCCAAAACACACAAAGCCCCCCAAAGCCAGTGCTTTAATTCCTGATTGTGTTTAATCACTGCAGGACAGCTGAGTTACGGTTGGGATGGAGGCGGTGATGGCTCAGAAGTGTCATTGATTTCAGAGAACAGCTGTATCCAGAGGCCCTCAGTCAGTTCTTAGTAAAAATTATTTGCAAATATACACATCCCACAGTGTCAAAGGGGACTACAACAAAGCTGGGGAGGGACTTTTTTGACAAGGGCATGGGGTGATAGGATAAGGAAAAACGGCTTTAAACTGAAAGAGGGGAGATTTAGGTTAGATATTAGGTAGAATTTCTTCCCTGTGAGGGTGCTGAGGCGCTGGCACACGGTGCCCAGAGAAGCTGTGGCTGCCCCATCCCTGGCAGTGTTCAAGGCCAGGTTAGACACAGGGGCTTGGAGCAACCTGGTCTAGTGGAAGGTGTCCCTGCCTGTGGCACGGGTTGGAACTGGATGAGATTTGAGGTCCCTTCCAACCTAAACCAATCTGTGACTCTAGGAAAACACAAAGGAACTGAGAAGCTAAGTCTCACTTCATATGGCAGGCCTTCACTTTTGCTTGCCCCAGCCTTCAGCCAAGCCAGAGATGAAGAAGATTGGGAAAAACTTCTGTGTGCTCAGGTCTGAGCAGGATCAGCTGCACCACCAGAGCCCCGCTGCTCATGGAAACACTTGGAGGAAAAAGCATTTCCTGCCATCCCAAGAATACTAATTTGGCTCATGTGTGACACTGCAAAGGGTCGTGCCAATGGAGAGAAACTCTGCTGATAAGTCTGTGCACAGGGCTTGCAGACCTGTATTACTGCAAGGGCACAATCATGGCATTGTTCATGGTACTTAGTTACAGGGCTTACTTTACAGGGGTTTTCAGTGCTTATAAAAGTTGTCCTCAGCAAAGGAGAAGCGTTGTGTTATTTTCTTGTGGACATACAAATGTGCATATTCTGTAGTACACAGAGATGTAAGCCAGGCTGAGACCAATGTGAACCCCTCCACTTCCTGAAGGGCAGGATCACAGCTCAGCTTTACCCCCAGCAGACACAGACACTTACAGATGCTGTGATGAAGAGCGAGGCTGCGTCCACTTTCTGGCTTCCACTGACTTGCAGCATTGAGAGTAAGGAAGGGGTTTTGATGTGACACAAGAGTGATTTCCTAGGAAATGACAAGATTCGTGGAGCTGTCTGTGCTGAGGGGTTGTTTGCAGGAGCGCAGGTCTCTCTGTGGCCATGCCAGTGTTTGCAGTAATAAATCACTTGTTTGCTCGGATGCATTCCTTATTCCCCATGGTGCCAAGTCACACAATCATGTCACTGTGGAGCATCGATGATTTTCTGTAGTTTGTTGGGTGTTTTGGTCCCCAGCAGACCGTCTGGGTATGCAGGTTTCCTTAAGCCAATCTCTTAAATTTCCAGTTGGATGTTAGCTGGATTTTGGTCATTGTCTCACCTGCAGCCTGGTTAGGCTGTGAAAACGTGCCAGCATATGGTTCTGCTGCTGGATTATAACATTGGTCACCTCCATCAGAGCTGTTTCCTCTCCTTTGTGGCACAGGAGGGAGGAGTGAGCTTTCTGCAGGGCTGCCATCCCTCCTGCATCTCCCAGCTCTTCACAGGTCTGAGGGCAGGAGGGCAAAGCCTCAGCCATAAGGGACAGTTCTGGAGAGATTTGCACAGAGCTCCAGGCAGCATGAGGGGGCTAAAAAGCAGGAAGAAATCTGCTGTCCTTTCTGTGCAAATAGTGCTAGGCCTGTGCTGAAATACTGTGCTAAATCAGAGATTTACCCCCCCTGCCAATTCTGCAAGAAGAGAACCAGGTCCTGGTTGCAGGTTGGCTTTAAGATGCCAATCCTGTGCACAGGCAATTCAAAGATAAAATATGGCAGGTTTCAGTAGCACATCAGTTTCCAGCTATTCTGGATCAACATCATTCCAGTTCCTGATCAACATCGTGATGAATGGTAACAAAACAAGAATTAAACTTGGAATTAGCTTAGATTAACCAACAAGTCTCCTTCAGACCCTTAAGAAATCCATTAGAAAGCAATTTGCACAGTCTGCTTGCTTTCTGGTTTTCAGGACACAAGCTCTTGCCCTTATGGCCAATCTTGCTGTTTCTGTGATTACACTGTTTTAAACCCAGAGCCTAAAAAGCTCCACATGTATTTAAGTCTCTCCCTGTACATATAAAGGCTTTGTATTTTTGTTTCAATATTATTATTATTTAAATTCTGGTAGGGTATTTTCTTTGTAACTCCTGCTGCTACACACATTAAACCAGTTCTGAAGTTAAATAGCAATTAGAGCAAGCGTTAAGATCATCAGCTGCTCAGGTCTATTAAAGCAGAAACTATTCTTGAAGCAATCCAAGAAACACATCCCAGCTGGCCAAAGACAACACACCTTCCTCGTGAAGGACAGGGTTTTGTGCAGTTACAAGCAGCTGCATCAGACCACTGAGCTCAAGGGGAGCCCCAGCGCCAGCTAATAACGCAGCTGCAATGTAGACGTGTTCTGGGAGCAAACTGCGCTCTGGTTTGCTTTCCCAAAACAGAGGAGTTGTGCGCAGTGTCCCGCTGTCCTGTGAGCATGTACACTCATCGGGGAGACTCAAGGCAAACCTGCTTACAAACAGCACAATGATGCCAGACCTGAAGCCGTGACAAGAGCTGGGATTCAGGAGTACATGGGCTTCTTTTGGAACCAGCCATCCTCACCCCCACCTGGCTTTGGCTGGGGTTTCCACGGAAAGGGAAGATCCTTTCTCTGTTGTGTACAGAAGAAAGGGCACATCCCTCGCCAGGCTGCAGTACTTGCAGTGGAGAATGCATTCCTGATTAGAAATAACCACAAATTCCAAAGTAATTTACAGCTAAAAGGAAGTTTAAACCCTAAAAATGTCCTTTTCTTATCTTCCTTTAGTCCTCTGGAAATTTAATACAAGAAAATCTCAGTTGAAACTTCTCAGATGTTTTGATTCACCTTAATTCTTAAATATATCTTAAGTCTAAGGGCAGTTGTGTGATGTTCATCCTATAGCATCTTTCAGGCAGTACTGCAAACTGCAAGGACTGATTAAGGAGAAGCCTGCATGAACACCCCTTCCCCTGTACAGCTGCTCTCATGGACCTCCTTCAGCATGGTGGGAGCCTGTAGCCATGGTGAAAGGAAGGAGGGTTTCTGGTGTGAAAACCTAACTTTACAATTGCTGATGGTATCATAGGCACTCACAAGATGCCTTTTTAGGAGGAAGGAGGGAGTAGGACGTGCACATGCATGCAGGGCACACCAGAAGGGATGAGTACTGAAGCTAATGTAAACACAGCCCTCCTGAACATACAGGTTTAACCATTTGTCTGCATTTCTTGAGCTTTTAAGCACCTGCATTTAAATAATTCACACCATATTCTTTCAACCCTATCTCTGTTTTAACATCTCTTAAATTAAGGAACACAAGGGTAACACAGCACGACATTTTAAGCTATTTAGCTATTTACCTGGGGCCCTGGGTTTGCCTCCTCCTGCCTTGGGCAGGTCCCTGCCACGCACCAGCTCCTCGGGGTTTAGTTCTGCGGTCTGCACCCATCTTCCCCTCTCCTGTTTAATTGACAATTCATAAAATGCTGATTCTGCAGTGATTTTGCCATTTTCCTCTGAAATGGAGCATAGAAAGAACTCATTGGCTATATTAATACATGAGATAAAATGGATGGAGATTGCAGAACAGCAAAATAATAAAAACCAAAGACACCAAAACCATCCTTAAAACAGAAGAGAGCAGTATTGGGTAGGGAAGAGATAAGCACCTTGCTCTATATACTCCTCAAGTGCACTTTCTGTGGGGAAAAAACTAAAAATAAGAGTTCTGTATCCTAGTACTCTCACGGAGACATTAGAAGATCATTACACTTGTAGACTTTGTGTCTTCCCTAGTCCATTAACATCCCATTCCCACACCTCATGCGAGATTTCCCTGGAGACGCCACCTTCTTTCATCACATCTGATATCTAATAAAGACATAAGAGAATTTAATAACAGACTGCACAGGGGAGACTTCTGCTGGAACAGCCAAGGCTGCTGCTGATGTGTTGAGATGCTGAGGAAGGATAAGAGTGACCAGGAAGCTGTGGGGTGTTTAGTTTTGGAGGTCGTGATGGTGAAGCCACTGATATCACCCCAGCCAGCCCAGACTTTGCATGAAGTGAGTCACAAGACGTTTCTCCAGCCGTTTCAGCTTTGCCTGATCAAGTCTCATTCCCTGTCACTTGGCTCTACACATTTTGGAGGGGGGAATACCTGGTCTGAAGGACCTTGAGACAACACAGCAAGTGAAGGAGACCAAAGTGGTTAGAATGAATTTGCACCCAGTTTAAACACACTCGCTGTGTTTAACAGAATATTCCTGGGTTGCTTAAAGTATCTGCTGCCCTGCTAGAGAAAGCAGCCCCAAAAGGTAGTGTTCGGTCTCCTACTAGAACAAGTATTGCATGAAGAACACAGTGCTTTTATGGCCCTGCTCTCCCAGCCCTGCTATAGTTTCCACAGCCAGATATTTCAGGAATTACCATTGGTTTTATGTGCACAAAGTGAAGCACCTCATGTGCACACTGACGTGGACAGTGGGATTGAGTGCGCCCTCAGCAAGTTTGCCGATGACACCAAGCTGTGTGGTTCAGTTGATACCCTGGAGGGAAGGAATGCCATCCAGAGGGACCTTGACACGCTTGTGAGGTGGGCTGATGTCAACCTTATGAGGTTTAACCATGACAAGTGCAAAGTCCTACACCTGGGTCAGAGCAATCCCAGGCACAGCCACAGGTGGGGCAGAGGAGAGATTCAGAGCAGCCCTGCAGAGAAGGACTTGGGGTGGTGGTCAATGAGAAAATGAACATGAAGTGGCTTCAGTGTGCTCTTGCAGCCCAGAAAGCCAACCGTATCCTGGGCTGCATCAAAAGGAGCGTGACCAGCAGGTCGAAGGAGGTGATCCTGCCCCTTTACTCTGCTCTTGTGAGACCTCACCTGGAGTATTGTGTGCAGTTCTGGTGTCCTCAACATAAAAAGGACATGGAACTGTTGGAACAAGTCCAGAGAAGGACCATGAGGATGATGTATGAAGACAGGCTGAGAAAGTTGGGGCTGTTCAGCCTGGAGAAGAGAAGGCTGCGTGGAGACCTCATAGCAGCCTTCCAGTATCTGAAGGGGGCCTATAAGTGTGCTGGAGAGGGACTCTTCATTAGGGACTGTAGTGATAGGACAAGGGGTAACGGGTTAAAACTTAAACAGGGGAAGTTTAGATTGGATATAAGAAGGAAATTCTTTCCTGTTAGGGTGGTGAGGCACTGGAATGGGTTGCCCAGGGAGGTTGTGAATGCTCCATCCCTGCCAGTGTTCATGACCAGGTTGGACGAAGCCTTGGGTGAGATGGTTTAGTGTGAGGTGTCCCTGTCCATGGCAGGGGGGTTGGAACTGGATGATCTTAAGGTCCTTTCCAACCCTAACGATTCTATGATTCTAAGAAGTTAATTCTTTTTCTTCTCTTAATCTGGAGCTGAGCAAGCATTTTCAAAGCAGCCATCTTGAATAAAACCACCTCAAGTGGGAAAGTGAAAAACCAAGGCAGCAAAAATACCATGTCACTTGTGAAAACTGGCAAGCTACAACAAACCACACTGACCTGATGGCTGGGCCTTGAGGTTCTTGTGGGGCTTGTTCATGCAGTGCCTGCCAGGTCCTTTGTCAGTCAGTTCTAGTGCATCTTTTACAAATCCATGTTCACATATATTCTCCTTGCAGAGATGTGCTGGGACATCTTCTATAAAAGCTTTGATTGCTGGTGACAGGTGATTGGCTTCACTGCAGATTATCCATGATTTCTCTCAGGTGCGTGTTTAAATAGAGAAGGGAATAAGTCAAGTACAGACAGATGCTTGGTTACAAATATATTAGATATATATATACTATAAGGTAAATATAGATAAGAAACGGAAGATGTCTATTTGCTGAGAGCTGAACCAGGGTGATGTCAACTGTGCCCTTTAGAGCTCAGCTCTCAATTTTGGCACTATTTTGCTAAGAAGGAGAAACATTCAGGATACACTGGTAGCTGCATCAAGGTTATTGGTAAGTAAAGAACTTAGAACCCTTTCACTGCCTCTTTCTCACTAAATCTGTGAGTTTGGGTTTTGCTACACTAAACACATCTCAACTTCTTTTTAACTGTTCAATGTAAATTGCCAGATTTCTTACATGCTTAAGGAGATTCCCTCCAGGATGGAGTACAGTTGAGATTCATTTCCAAGCTGTTTTCTTCCAGCAACATCACTTATTTTCTTGTTCCTGCACAGGTTCATTGCTTCCCTTGTTCTGGGCTCCCCACACGTGGTGTCCTCATTCTGCCTGTGCAGATGCATCCACATGGACCTGCTGCATCACCCACTTCTACAGCTCCAGATAGGCCCCACCACTTTGCTGTTGGAGCAGGGACCCACAAGGAAGAAGAGGTTTGCAAAGTCCAGAAATAATCTCAGGGAGAAACAAGGAAATGCTGAGTGTTGGTTACTTGGCAAAGGCTGCGCGTTTGCTGCCGCTGTGGAAAACGCCTGGGAGGCACCATTAACCCAAGTCTTATTGCTAGGGCTTGGCTTGCCTCCACACTGCTAAGGACCAGCACCCTCTGAAGGGCAATGGTTGCCCTCATGCTGTGAGCTCCCTGCAGAGCCTCACACACCCTGGGTCAATAATTATTGTATCAGGAACTTCTTTTCTTTAAAGTTTAAATTCCCCAAGTGATGGGAGGAGTGCAGCCTGCCAGCAGGATGTTTTTGCAGCTGGACGTGAAGGTGTTCGGGGTTCTGCAGCATGGCATGGAGGTTGGTGGAACATGATGCCTCCTGAGATGGTAGGAGGATTGTCCAGGGTAGAGTTTGATCCAGCTCATGACAAGCTCTTCTGTCTGTGCAGCCTTGGAAAAAACAACACTGACAGCCATGTCGAGGTTTCTCCTTGGGAGAAACCAGTTGGTTTGCTCCAGAACAGAGACAGGAGGGAGCTCATATGCATGCCATGGAGACAGCCGGTGAGCAGAGCCTGGGGGAACAGAGGCAGCCAAATTGGCTGTGTAGACAAAAGGTGCTTTCATACCCCTATCGTGGTCTCACCAAGCAAGATGCTAAATAGAGCAAGCAATGAAATTTATGCTCACCGTCAGCCGGGGCTGGTCCCTCACTGCTTGCTCACCACGGTCACAACTATCTGTCTGGAGGTGTTTATGGTCCATGGTTTTTCATCTGCTGGGAACTCCTAGAGCTTGGCCAGATGAGGACAAGCTTTGTGCACTGGCTCTGCAGCTTTTAAAAGTTAATGTGACTCAACAGCAGCTCTTCTTTGTCTCATTCAATTGCCCTAACCTTTGATTTTGGGCCTGTAAAGGGGTTTAGGCTGAGTTTTAACCTTAAGATATAAGATACATGAAGCACTCTCATAAAATCAAATCAAATAGCGCACAACTGACTGATTCCAACAGTTCCCCATCCCATTTATAGTCCACATTTTCACTAATGCAGCTGTGGCTGAAAAGCAGTATAAGACAACCTCATTCTCTATCATACATAGTCCATTCAGAGCAATACATGAAAATGTTTACTTTAAAATATAAATGTAATTATAAAGGTATAATTACAGATAAGACTGTGCCTCTTTGAGCCACCTCAAATTATAGCTTCAAATTATAACAATAAAACAGGGTCAAATAAATGACCTCAATTAATTTCATTACAGAGTGGAGCAAACACCACTCGGCACGGGATAAGCTTACACTGCCTGACCTCATTTCATCTGTCCTCATACCCTGCCACGGAAGAGTGCCTGACAGCACATCAGGTGAGCCCTCCTTCCCAAAGACGTTGCTAAGCAATCAGCTGCAGGGTTATAAATGTTGAGTGCTTAATATACGGTACATGGGAGTAGGGATTAACTTTAGGTTTTTTTCTTTCCAGGTACTGAGGGAACTAGGATGGCTCAACTGAACTGCCCTGAAACAGTTTGGAATCAGAAATCAACCAGATTTAAAGCTGTCATCAGTATCTGTGTACAGACTGAACTGATTTATCGTGCGTGCCATGTGCTGAATTGCAAAACCCTTACTGTATTAGTGATTTAACAGGAGGAACAATTTGATTTGTCATTACTAATAGGGATGTAACCAAATTAGTCTCCCACATACTTTATGCTGATGAGGTCATGCTTAGATTTCCCTTTGTAGATTTATATTCTCCCTAGCTTTAATCAAAGCTAAGAAACGTATCGTCTGAGTAACACTGTTATGAAATACTGAAGAATTTTCAGAGGGGTTTAGAAAGCCAAGAAAATCATGGAAGTAAAAATCAAATATAAGCTTTAATATTCAGCCCTATGCTGTACATTTGATTAAATATTAATTCACAGCCATGTGTTGGGTACTTACAACCAAGCTCTCTTGACCCATTTGAAATGCACGGTCACGTTTGTAAACTTGGCATTTGAAAAAGGACAGGTCAATGCTGTAGATCCCGCTTAAATCTTTCCTGCAGTTCTTGCTTAATTAGTGGCCTAACTCTGCCCTTATAAATTGTTGACTTGATCGCATTTGTGGAGTTAGGAAAATATTGCCTTAAGACAGAGGCTTTGAAAAATGCATTCTCTCTGCAATACTTTGTTTGGTTGTTTCTTTTAGCAAAGCAACAAGGGATGAAAGGATGGCAGCTGAATTCTGGTTTATTCAAAGGATCTGACTATTACAGAACTGCCATCTGAATGAGAACACTGGGGTTGGGCTGCTTTGTAGTTGAAGAGAGGAAAAAAGAAATAGCCACTGGGTAGAGCAGCTTCCTGAACAACATAGTAGGATACGATGTGAGATAAGAAGCAAGAGGCTTGTAGTGTGAGCTGGGATTTGGGGAGAAAGATGGTGCAGAATGCTGCCTCTGCTTCTGCCCTGCAGCTTCCCAGATGGTACCTGGCATCCTTGACCATGGCCAATACCTCCATAAATATCAGTGAATGATTTGCTACCATCAGCCCCTGCTTTGATCATCAAATAAGGCCAGCTCCATCCCACGGAGCCAGATTTTCCCCATCCGCAGCCATTGGTTGGTTCCAGTATCTTGCACTGAAATGTCTTGAAGGTTTTTGCTTGTGCAAAACTCTTAGCATTTCATTCGGTACCAGGGCTTTGATCTCCCCACTTGAATACTGCATTAATTCAGAGCTCCCCTGGGTGCAGGAGTTCACAGCATTAGTTAACCTCTTCTGGAAGTCTCAAACATGATTTGGAAGTAATTCTGTGCATTGTGACAGAAACAAAACCTCATCTTTAATTAAAGATAGAATAAAAGGGTCTTCTCTCCTTAGCCTAACCAGAATCCAGGCACCAACTATTTGCGCTGCTTTTTCACTGCATTGAAGAATAATTGCAAAGTCAGCCTGCAAGTCTCATTTGTGGTTGGAAAAGAGGACATGTTCCTGAATACCACCAAGCACCTGTGAGCAATGAGCTAGCTAGATCCTTAAAACATTCAGATGCAGAGCTGGCTGAAGCCTGAGCTTTCCACTTCTCTTCCCAACAGCTATTAGGTGTGTCGCAACCACTAAGGGGGTAGATGGTGACTATCACCCAGTGCCAGAAGGCAGCTTTTTGCTGGTGGTGGTGGTCACTTCTGTGTAGGACTCCAGTCTATACTTGTTGGGGTTGGTTTGTTTGTTTGGTTTGTTGTTTTGGTTTTTAATCTAATTACCTTTTTGTGTTATGTTTCCAGGTTCTGATCTGTAACCATTCAATGGAACGCTGCAGTCACTAAGGTCTGTGCTTGGTTTCATGCTCATCCTTCCACCCCCATGATTCTTACCTGCCTGCTCCTGGGCAGAACTGAGGATTCTGTGGGGTCAGTCCTGCAACCCTCTGACCATGTCCATGGGCTGTCAGAGCCTAGAGCCCACATCATCTGGTCCGGGATGGGTCCTACCAGTGCTCTACCATTGTATGAAAGCAAAGCGCATCACCACTAACACATACAGCTTTCTCCTACCACCGTGCTACTGAGGTGGCCTGAATCCTAAGTTAAAGCCACTACCAATGTCTCCTTATCATCTCAATGGAGAAACAAACCCCTCTTTTGAGTGGACAGGGCTGCCACCTGGAGGCACCCCAGTTTTCCTACATAGTCAGTGGAAACAAGGAAATGCCGGTGCAAGACGGACTGCAGGCTCCAGAGATATCCGACTGGTCACATAGGACATCTGAGCATCCATTTATGCAGTCAGGAGACGGCAAATTTGGCACCTCAGTTAAGCAGATGTTCTGTGCTAGCGCCTCTCTGGGGTTAAGGATTTAATCATGGTTATTTGCTCCCAAACCCTCAGGGGTTTTCTCCCCAAGGCCCAGGTCCAGGCAGGACCATCACTCCCACCTCCCCACTGATGTAACACTGTTAAATAAACCAAGATCTAATGCACTTCCATCTTCCCCTGTGACCACAGGCCCCTCACAAACCCCCTCATCATCAACTCTTTTCTCTGGTCAGTACCACACTCTGACTTGTTCTGCAGAAGTCTTGGTGTTACCCAACAGCACCAGCTTCCCACGGGGACCGGCGATACGTGCAGCAGGGTTGTGGCAGGGCTTGTGGCACCACGGTGCTGCCAACGTCAGGAGCTTTGAGCAAGAGGAAACAGCCTCACCAACAGATTTCTTGAGAAGTCAGTGGCGAGGCAGAAACGAAAGATGAAACCAAGTACCCAGAAATTCACCCCATCAGCACACAGCTGCCTCCAACCCGTCACCCCTCTCCTGCCTGGGCCAGGGGATGGTCAGCACAGCGCTGCTTGGGGCTT